TTTTTAATTTTTTTTTTTCAGCTGGCATGCACCAGGCATCAGCCCTCTGTAATATAACTACTCACTTATTTGATCCTCCAAACATTCTCAATTGTAGTTTGACCCTGGATGCCATTAATGCATGGGTATGTAATCTATGCCTAATGATTGTAATATATAGTCATTCAGTCTGATTTTTTCATAACTTTCAGCTGGCATGCACCAGGCATCAGCCCTCTGTAATATAACTACTCACTTATTTGATCCTCCAAACATTCTCAATTGTAGTTTGACCCTGGATGCCATTAGGTATGTGGTATGTAATCTATGCCTAATGATTGTAATATATAGTCATTCAGTCTGATTTTTTCATAACTTATTTTTTTATTTTTTATTTTTTTAAATCAAGGTTTCTGGAGCTACTCCTGAACAAAAACAGAACTTAGCCTCCAGCACCCAGATCCTCACATCCATACCAGAACGGCTAACACCCCACAACATCACAAGTGCAGCTCAAATAACCAACATCCTGCTTTCTGACCAACAAACTGCACAAACTACGGTACTTAATAAGCCTTAAGCAGATATTAACATTTAAAGTTACTTCATTATTTTAAAGATACAACATGTAAAGATATCATAATTTTAATAATTTTTCCCATTTTCTTTTTCTTTTTGTAATCTATAGAAAAGTAACTGTAATCTGATTACAAGCATTTTAAAATATAATAATATAGCTGCAAGCAGCGATTATCGGGGTTCAAGCATTTTAAGGTCTTTAAAGGGGACATAACACACAGTTTCTGCCAATCTCATGTTAATCTTGAGTACCTATAGAGTAGCACTGCATTCTTCATATCTCCGAAGAGTCTTTAGTATCAGATTCCTAAAAGACAGATACAGCTTTACGCTTCTCTGAAAACAGTTGAGCTCCTGGCGAAGGAAGTACAACCTTTGAGAGGGGTCAGTAGAGGTGCAGTTGTTGGTGTACAGGGAGAAGAGCAGTGGGGAGAGCACACATCCCTGAGGGGCGCCAGTGCTGATGGTGCGGCTGTTTGACATGAATTTCTCCAGTTTCACTTGCTGCTGCCTATCTGTCAGAAAGCTGGTGATCCACTGACAGATAGAGCTAGGAACAGAGAGATCTGGAGGCATGTTGGGATGATGGTGTTGAAGGCCAAACTGAAGTCCACAAACAGGATCCTCACATAAGTGCCCGGTTTGTCCAGATGCTGCAGGATGAAGTGCAGTCCATGTTCACCGCATCTTCCACAGACCTTTTTGCTCGATAAGCAAACTGCAGGGGGTTCAGTGATGTCCTTCAGACAAGCTAACAGAGGGGAGTTGATGGAGGTGTTAAAGGGGTCCTATTATGCTCTTTTACAAAGTCTTGATTTTGTTTTGGGG